AAGAAGAAGATGAAGAAGGAGAAGAAGAAGAAGAAGAAGAAGAAGAAGAAGAAGAGAGAAGAGAAGAAGAAGAAGAAGAAGAAGAAGAAGAAGAAGAAGAAGAAGAAGAAGAGAAGAAGAAGAAGAAGAAGAAGAAGAAGAAGAAGAAGAAGAAGAAGAGAGAAGAAGAAGAATGTGCAAAAAGGTCTGTTTATTCGTACTGGAGGCCCTGTTTTTCCGAAGAAGGAGAAGAAGAAGAAGAAGAAGAAGAAGGAGAAGAAGAAGAAGAAGAATAATAATAATAAGAAGAAAAATGTGTAAAAAGGTCTGTATATTCGTACTGGAGGCCCTGTTTTCCTTTTTTTCCACCCCCATACCTGAAACCATATAGGCCTGTACTACAATTAGAAATAATATGTGATTGCTACAAGGGGGGGGGGGGGGGACAATAAAGAAAAAACGTAAATCATCGATGATGCAAATAGCCAATATACAACAACAAAAACACAACGTTTTGAATAGATACAGCCATTACAGTTATGACATTTTATTAAACCGTTGATAAAATAATATTGATATGATAATTTGACTCAATATTTTTTCTTCACCGATCACAAGAAATAGATACACGACCTACACAACATGATGCTAGCTTAAATAGCGTGTGTGAGATACACTTACCGAGAGCAATAATGTAGTCTATAATTTATTTGATGCTTCTGTATATACGAGACTGTACCTTTTTTCCTCAATAATCCTAAAGAAGATTTGATATCGTGAACTATTATTTAAATTGTTCAGTGAAGTCTCTTTTGGCTCTATGAGGACAAGCGGTCTTGTGGCAAAGAAAAACAAATGCTCCCTTAGATTTTACAATTTAACTGACATTGATTGAGATAACATGTTGTAATAAAAATAGAATAAACTTAATGTTTTAAAAAATTCTCAAGAGCCAACAAATAAATAAATAAAAACGTTATATTTTTTTGCAATAATATTTGCTCTAAAATGCCCAAAATGCGCCTACAGAAATTTGTCAAGGGTGTGTCACACCTCAGCCACCCGCTTGAGGCTATTCTGATCAAATATTAGCTGATTGAAGTGCGGAAGTGGTTTTACATCTTCATTTCGCAGATAACATGATAGCGATTGCTGTCTCTTCGAGATTTGTCATTAGTGAGGCCATTGGAGTACATCTCGACGACATCTTCACCACCTGCATTGTTTGGTTCACCGGGAGTCCAAAATCCTTTATCATTTATGGTCAGCGTGCTACCATCCAACCAGCGCCACCCATTGCCATCTCGCTCCAAACCTGCAATTTCAAATATGAAGAAAATTGAATTCGGTCATAGAATGTGCACATTTACTACTTTTCCCCCAATTAATGAACAGGTAATGATTTTTCTAATCATAAGGCACGGTACGCCTCAAAACTAGCGGAGATCTGAAGAAGAGCTTTGCAGATAAACAGAAATACAAAGAAGAAGAGAAGGAGGAAGAATAAGCCATGGTGATTATGACGATGATGATGATGATAATGATATTTATGCTTCATGTAGTACACTACACAATGTTTGCTCTTGAGTTGTTTGATGTGTTTTTATCACAAAACGATACAATTTTAATGAAAGATTATGATGTATTCCATTATGGTCTAAAGTTGGAGAAGGAGAGATGATGATGAAGGAGGAGGAGGAGAACAAAAAAGAAAAAGAAGGAGAAAACAAGAAAACAAGACAAAATGAAGAAAAAAGTCCCAGATAGATTTTTCAGTTCTATATTTCCCCCTCCCTATGTAAAACAAATTTTCGACCATAGTAACCCCAACATAAAAGGTACTGCTGAAATACATTGATTGCCATAAGATCGGACACCCGCCCTGAAGGCAATGTATCGTTACCTGCAGTGGCGGATTCCGGGGGGAGGGGGGGGGGGGGACGTGTAAAAGCACGTTAATTTTACCTTTTTTAGGAGATGGGCCCCCCACCTGGCGTTTAATGGGGGGGGGGGGGGGGTGCGATTTTTCAAATTTTCGAGGGCCAAAAAAAAATAGTGCTCATAAGCACAACCCCCCCCCTCCCCCACTGAGCGAAATATTGGCCGGCAGATTTTCAAATTTCAGCATACTAAATTTCAAATTGATTTCAAATTTGGGCCCCACCCCTAAGAAATTCTGGATACGTGCCTGGGTACCTGAGTATGCTCTGATGGCCTTCTGCACTTGCAGGGTTCTAATACATAATGATACTATATAAGAGAAACAATGATTATATTGGGGCTGCTCCATGATTTAATTAAAAAAGGGATTTAAGTACTCGGAAGTGTCACAAATAAAAGGTGAGGGGGGGGGGGGGGGGAGGGGCGGGCGTTCTGGAACTCCGTGACCCTCTTCGCTCTCTTATAAAAAAATATACATAGTAACTCACCGATCCAGACGTTCTTCCAGGTGGCTGTACCGATGACAGAAAAGATGTAGTCATAGGCAAAACCCATCTCTTCCTTGGTTGACAGACTAGCCATATCTGCTCCATCATAACTAAGACATCTTGATCTAGCAGCACTCCAGGACAGAGCTTCTCCGATGTACTTGTAACAGGACCCGGTCTGCTTGTTCATTCCCCAACCATCCGGACACTGCTTCACTGTAATGCAAACGGTTCATTCTACATTTATTATCATGGAGACTTATGCATAAATATTTTGATAATCAGACAGGCGATCAGCTTGTCAAAGTCATAGGAATCATGACTGACATAAAGGTTTATAATTATGATAGCAGCATGAGCTAAATCCAGGATTTTGTTTCAGAATCTGAGGCAATGTTACCGAGTCACTTAAAGAGTGTGGTTCTAGATGGGCTGTGTGTTTTTTAACGGGAGGGGCTGCTCAGGGTGACACGACATTTGCTCCTGCGACAATTGCTCCGGGCTTTATTTCGTCTAAGATGTAGGGTTAGGGTTAGGGTTTCAATAGGGTTTTATGTTAGGTTTAGGGTTAGGTTTAGGGTAGGGTATAGTGTTGAATCCAGGGTTGAAGTTAGCCATTCGATTAGTGTATGAAATTTACAGCGGAGCAATTGTCGCCGGAGCAAATGTCATGGAATCCTGCTCAAGCCTCCCCTTAACAAAATAAATCTCGAGGCACATGTAGAAAATGAATCCATACTAGAAACACAGAGCCCCCACCCCGCCCCTATAAAAGAACTGAGTATCATTATTATTATTATTATTATTATTATTATTATTATTATTATTATTCCTTTAGAACCGTGCATAAATTTCAAGATTTTGACGTCTTCAGGATGCTTTCGAACGCCAAGAGGACGTGTGCGTGTGCTATAGTATATTTGGGGGAGACCAACTATAGTATCACCGAACAAATGATTTACTGGTTAATGAACTGAGTGTAAAGTACATAAATACTTATGATTGATAATAAACCGAATATTATCCTATAATTCACACCATGTGTGTTTTGCACGTTGTTATCAAGAGTCAAATGCTTCTTGGAGAAAGTATGGGGGATATTATAACCAAATGATAGAAATTCTTATATAGTAACAGTTTTAGTTTGCGTTCGTATAGTTTTTAAGGAGGTAATTAAATGAGTGAAGTGAATATTGTGCTTTTATTTCAAAAAGTTGTGTCGGGTTTGGGAAGGAGAATAATCCGTTCGATATTTCTGAGAGAGAGAGAGAGAGAGAGGGTGCGATTGTTTAACTTCCATTTTGGAGCTCAATATATTAGGGAACAAATCATTTAACAACTTAAGCAAACAAATAACAAGGTATTTCTTTACATTTACATTCAAACAATCTATAAAAAGTGTTTCGTATAAAAGACTTCTACTGTATCAAGAATCCACTTGTAAAACGATTCTTAGTGCTCTGTTTTGTAATATTTTGAGCCTTTTCAAAGGCTTTGAATCCGTATCCAGTTACATCCATAATGTTTTTTTGAATATATTACTGATACACACATTTCATAGTCTTGATTTGTCAATAAAATTTTGATCACTAATTATATATTTTGAGAAAGCAGTTGAATTTGCTCAAAAATTAGTTCATGTCCGTAATAAAGCACAAACTATAGTTGGATACTTTAATAAAGATTAACGATGACGTTTCTTTTCACCATTAGGCCTAGTTTAAGTTTACACGTCACAAGTAAGTCATTCTTTCTTTACAAACTAACATTGTAACTTTTTCTAAACGTTATTCAAGAGACATTCACCCTAAAAGGACTAAAAACTTACACGCTTGACAGCTTTGAAGAAGTTTCCCGACAGAATCTCCCAAGCTGCACTGTTCGGCACCAGCTACACAGTGAAGGACTGTTCCAGCTAAGACAATCAGGAAGATACTTTTAATCGCCATGGTCTATTCTTACCTTTGCGATGATGAATCAAAAAGTGAAGAACACTTGGAACGGATCCCATTCTTATACTATGATTTTAGTCAATAACGAGAGGCTTAAAATACTGAAACATGGTGTTATAAAAGCAATCGATTTTGTGTTAGATGATCAAGTCGTCTAAGTGATTATTTTTCGGTTACATTAATTTTTTAAAATCATGTCCGAGATTGATTGACATGAGTCAAAACCATGTTCATGAAGATAACATCACTTCTGCAGTGGATTATACTAATCAATAACTCAAGGGTGTATTGACATAATATTAATGACGATAGCTGTTTATTCCGCAAATGGCTGTCATTCATAATCGACAATTTTAATCAATCAATGCTTATGGATACGGGACATTCTTTCATTTTCACATGAATACCCGTACTTCTTCAACCAAATACACGTAACATGGTGAGGAAATTCATATTTGCATCAATAGGTTTCAAACGAAGGTAATTCTGACACACTTGGCAAATTTATTTATGTCAAAAAACTAAGAACCAATCAAAATATTTACATTTGAGTATAGCTTCATGGATTTAACACATGTTTGGTCTCCCATACATCCAGCTCATTACATTTATGCCACTCAAACACAATGTGTCCTTAAAGTTACATGAATTTAATTGAAAATTGTCAATGCTATTAATCATCCACGTCAAAATGAACCTGTCGACATATTGCTGTTAATGCCTGAAAAATCGTTCGTTCGTTCCTTAGAGAGAGAGGGAGAGAGAGAGAGAGAGAGAGAGAGAGAGAGAGGGGGAGTGAGAGGGGGGGGGGGGGAGAGAGAGAGAGAGAGAGAGAGAGAGAGAGAGTGAGAGAGGGGCTTGGAGAGAGAGAGAGATAAAGGGAGAATATGGAGCGGGAGAGAGAGAGAGAGAGAGAGAGAGAGAAAGATAGAATAGAGGGAGAGAGAGAGAGATAGAGAGAGAGAGACAGAAAGAGAAAAGAGAGAGAGAGAGAGAGGGGGGGGGGGGGGGAGAGGGGAGAAGGAGGAAGAGGGGAGGGGGTTGGGGGGGGGGGGAAGGGAGAAAAATATAATTCTTTGTAAGTTCAATGCGTTTTAGAAAATTGTACAGCATGTATAGAGAAGCAATAATCACTTAGAAAAATTAATTAATTTCGGTTGCTAATAGTGCCCGAAAATAAAGGCTTAATACATTGTAATTTATAATACTACATTAATTGGCAGATAAAGTTTAGCTTATAACCATTGGTGGAACCTCGCGGCTGAATACGAAGGCTTCCACCACCATCATCATCATCATCATCATCATCATCATTGCCGGCACCAGCACCAGCACCATCATCACCTTCTTCTTCTTCTTCTAATTCTTCACTGTTATCCTCCGCCTGCTCCTGCTCCCACTCCTCATCATCATCAATTTTATCCTCATTATCATCATCATCATCATCATCATCATCATCATCATCATCATCTTCTTCTTCTTTTTCTTCTTCTTCTTCTTCTTCTTCTTCTTCTTCTTCTTCACTGTATCCTCCTCATCATTTTCACTGTTCATCCTAATAATCAGCAGCTTCCCCCAATCATCATCATCATCATCATCATCATCATCATCATCATACGAACGAGGCTCGATTCCCGCGCCCCAAAATTGTTGCTATGGTAACCATAATATTAATCACATTGACGAATATATACAGCGGTCTATTAAAGGGATCCGGTAACTTTGTCTCAGATTCTGAAACAAAATTCTGGATTTAGCTCATGATGCAATGATAATTATAAACCTTAAGGTCAGTCAGGAACCCCATGACTTTTACAAGCCAATCGCCTGTCTGATTATCAAGATATTTATGATTGGAATTACAAATTTTGAAAACCGTTCGCCTGACGGTTTTCATAACACTACAGTCTGTTGGGGAAAACGAGTATGGTAAAACCGGTCACTCAAAGATTTTTACTTTTTTGAGGCACTTCTTGATCATTTTGAAGCGCAATTTTTTTAGGGCTTCAATATTACACCATATCACAGACACTGATAACACGTAGAGCAGTGTATCTTAGATTTAACATTGTTAAACGATCCCTTTAAGCTTAAAGAAAAGATGTTGTTTATATCCTAGATATTGCCTATTTGAATGGTAATTATAATAATAATAACAGTAATAATAATAATAATAGGCATTTCTAAAGCGCCGTCTATCTAGACATTCTATTCCGAGGCAGACTAATCATTACCCTGGCTTTACCCTAGCTGCCATTACAGCGCTTCAGCATTTCAAGCAATTAATTCCTGCCAACTTATTATAATTGTTGTTTAATATCATTATCTAATTAGGAATGAATTGAATTTACCAATTAATTGTATTGGAGTAAATAGGTGTTATCAAACAATTTTTCATTGGAGTGATGACACAGCAAGGTCGATTAAAAAAAGAATACAGACACGATGAAAGCACGTTGAAATTATGCACTGGGCCTAGTAGATCGAATCGATCTCCAACGTAACGTGACGAGCACTAAGACCACAGTTGCACCAACCGACTGCCGGACCGAAAGAACGATTACTTAACACCGGAGAGCAAAATATCGGTCAGTGTGGACTCGGCGCGGAGTTAGTAACTCCATGGTTTGGCGGTCGGTGTGACTGGGGTATTACAATATTGCATTGACCTTTAGCGGAACGCTCATATTCATCGCAAATTAGCATCATCTCTCAGTTACTGTGAACAAATTAGAAGCGAAGCATTTATCGCCAGAGCATGTATTGAGGAAATTTACTTTATCTAAAGCTTTGAGAATACAAATCAACGAATGCAGGACTTTTTCTAAGATTGAGATATTTTTAAATACATTTCCGCGTCTGCGAGTAGCCTGCTCGATCAACTTTCGTTTAAAAAGTATTAAAAAAATCCTTGGTTCGAGATGCAATAGATGCAAAGTGTTTTTTTAAATATGGAAGGTTATATTCCTCTTGCGAATTTGACTTTCATCTTCATACAAGTTTTGATAGTAGGTAAGTAACTTTTTTTTTGTACTTTCCTATTTTATTTGGCGTTTTATTCAAATCAGAAGCGACAATATAACTTTTTAATGGGAGGAGAAGGGCGAGGTGTTTCAGCACGCCATCTGATAACTGTTAAACGTCAAGTTTTTGAAGCGAAAAAGTAGGCAATTGTTTCATTGTTTCATTTTGCAGGACGCTCCTCTGTATTAGCCTTTGGCAAGAATTCAACATGCAGCGATGGCCTTGGGCTCAACTACACCCTACCTATGTTCGAGGTCTGCCGGGAACGCCCCGATGAGAATGGGAAGATGATGGCTACAACCCCCAAGATAATTCAACGTCGCGTATCATGCCCCAACTCTGGGATGGCAAGAATATCTAGGCACCGCCAGTGTAGATTCCCGGGTAATATATATTCACATCTATCAGAATAATTACACACCTAATTATCAAGAATAGTAAAGAGATTTTTAAAAGGTTAATGATTTGACCATTTGTACCAGCTAAATAGAATTATTTTAAAAAAATGAGACAGGTATATCTATAATCTCATAGCAAACAAATCGAAACTATATAGGATCATGATATTTACTTGAAAGAAAAGTCATTTAGATCTAGAAATCATTGCGCAATAGAATATCAAAGATCATTCGAACAATCATCAAAATTTACAACAGAAATATACAAAGACTGTATTTTATTTCGTGTGAAAATTTTATATCATCTAGTTCTAAAATGATATTGTTCCATGATATCCAACTTTACAGTAATGATGTTTTTTGTTTTTTGTTTTTTTGTTTACCCCATCTTGAATTCGAGACGAAAGGCCGTCATTTTTGCTTTCAAGTTTTTTTTTAAAAACTGCCATGATTTAAGCGGTTAGAGCGGCCTGTACAAACATTATATATTGTACATAGTAGTAGACTGTACGTGGAGTATCCACAAACTGATACAAATATGGGCCTTCTTCTGACATAGATCAAGATGGTTTCGTGGATTCATCGCTGGACTCTGAATCACATGGTTCGCGGTTCGAGTCCCGCTGCTGCACTAATATCCTTTGGCAATATATTAATCTACATTTGCCACTCCACACCTAGGTGTAGTAAATGGGTATCCGGTAGAAAGAAATTCTTTGAATGCTTAAGCGAATTCTCATAGTACCTCTGCTAAAGCAGGGGGTAATAATAATTATGATTGCAGGGCCCTCAGGGAGAACAATATCAATACTAATGAGGCTTACCTGGGTAAAGAAGAGTTACTATCATTTTCATTTTTATACATTATTGTTATGTGAAAAACCAAAAACGGCCTTAAAAACCCCCCATCCGGCAGGCGGAGGGCGATGAGTTGTCCAAAAAAGAAAAAGAAACAAAAACAGGTTGGTGTAACTTTAGTGGCCAGATATGACAGATGTTAAAAACATCCGTTGCTGATGCAAACACCAATAAGGTCGTCTGCAACCCTATTATTATTATTGTAATAATTATTATCATTATCAATGATCGTCGAGCATCTCTGGTTTAATAATTCATCCATCTTTTTATTGCAATTTTGAAGAACAGATTGTCTCAGAAATCCATGCAAAAACGGCTGGTGTGAGGAGACTATGGTAGGATTCAAATGCCACTGCTCCGAAGGCTATACAGGGAACAGTTGTGGTAGGTACCATTCGCAACATTGCAATACTACATATACGACTTAACTGCTTTTCCATGACACGTTTCTTCGATAATTTTTTTTCCGTTTTTCGTCTCTCCTATTTCTCTCTTTCTCACTCTCTCTCTCTCTTTCTCTCTCTCTCTCTCTCTCTCTTTCTCTCTTTTCTCTCTCTCACTCTCTCTCTCTGTGTTATTGTCCCCTACTTTCGCTTATGGACAAGCAAAATATAATGTCTATAATTGCTTTCATCTTTTCTCAGAATTTCTGAGTATTGGGCGGGTTATTGTTTATCTAATGACTAAAGGTTATCGTGTCCCGGATTCGAAAAACATCACTGATTTAGTACTTTTCAGTCTTTACTGATGCTCTCCAATTAGAAAAGACAATTCATTGTAAAGATCCCTGGTAAAAAAAAAGTTCATATATGTATATGCTATATGAAAGTTCGTAGCAGCACCATCATGCTCTTACCAAGTCTGTGATCCAGCAGAGAGCGAGAGAGTGCCACTATACTCCAAACATATCTGCTATCATGAACCCATGGATAATTACGTCATGAACAACGATAATTGCTCTATTATTGGCTATTCATTGCTGTGCACGTATTCCCCTATTTTGATCTGCTCTCTTAAAGTCCTGTATATGTCAAGAACATTGATGATAATAATAACTGCATGTATTTTCCTTTTTGTCTACAAAATTCAGAAAAGCTCGAGAAAGCGGCAATAATTTCTCGGAACCAAACGCAGCATACTACGTCAACCATAACGACAACGCAGCAATCCACTACTACACCAGGTATTTCATGGTAGAAATGTTTTTTTGTTTCATCACAGACTTATTAACCATTTGTAAAGAAAACTAAACCTCTCATTCTTTGAGAAAATTGTCATACAAAAATAACAATATATTAAACTGTTGTCAACATGCCATATTTGCATTCTAAAAGACGGATTTATGCTTCTTTCATCCGTATTTGATCTTGCTTTGATATTTTAAAATAAATCATAAGTAACTTGTAGTTCATCACGATAATCTTGAACGCTGATGATCCGGTTGTAGTAAAATATCTAGAAGTTTTTTTCTACATGGCATAATTTATGTCGTCACTAGATATTTTGTGTTTTATTACCTTGGAACACATGGGCATTTCATGTGAAATCATTTTCGTGTGACATTGATATAAGATTTTCTATGATTTTAAGATATTTTGTTTTTCAGACTTCAACGAGTGCGCCAGCAACCCTTGTCGTAATGGAGGAACATGTACTGATGACGATAACCGTTATCTGTGCCAGTGCATGGCCGGATGGGCAGGAGTTAACTGTCTAATAAGTGAGTAAAATACTAAATTCTGTCTGTTTCATTAGAAAGAGCAGGGGATCCAGGGTTTTATGAAAAGGGAGGGCATATTCCGAAAAATTCCTCTCAAAAACAACAAAAACGTCCTCGGATTGTTCTCAATTGTATTGTACCAATCTAAATCACATTGGCTTATACATTACATTTTACAAAAAGCCTTTCTAGTAAATGTAGTATTTTAAAACCTAAATTTAATGAATTTATCTGTAAATATTTATATTTAAAAAAACAGCTCCTTCGACATGAATGAATGTGTCAGCCAGCCTTGTCAGAACCGTGGGATTTGCTTAGACGGGATAAATAGTTACACATGGTTTGAGATATACTGATGTATATTCTGTGCCTTATAGTGTATTTACATACATATCTAATCTTAATCTAATTCAAATAGTTTGATCAATTCCTAAATAAATTGAATTTATCTTTCTCCTTTAGACTTGAATGAATGCTTGAGCCAACCTTGTCTGCACGATGGGATTTGCTTGGACGGAATAAACAGTTACACATGTCAGTGTGGAGATGGATGGACAGGCACCAATTGTGGAATTGGTAAGTCATATTTTAAGTTCCTTTAGATTTAAGAATCTGTAGAAACTTCCATAAAAAGATAATTCAATTTTATGCCATTCAATATCTAAGAAATTAAATGTTTTAACTGGAATATTACTTCGTCAACATTGAAATGCCGCGAATCCTCCTCTTCCTCCTCTCCCTCCTCATCATCATAATCATTTCCACCATTACTACCATTATCATTATCATTATATTAAAGTATAATCAGGAATGCACATTATAAATTAAGAATTAATAATTGTTATCAAGAAATATGAAATTTAGAAACTTATGACTGGAATGTTTCCTTATTTTTTCAGACATCGATGAATGTGCCGATGAACCGTGTGAAAATGGCGGAGTCTGTGTGGACGGATTGAACAGCTATACATGTACTTGTACTGAAGGATGGGAAGGGTCCACCTGTGGTGTTAGTAAGTAAACATCGAGAAAATGTCTTTAAAACAAAACAAAGTTGCATTAAGCTTACAAATATGTATTACCATATGATGTCGATGTTTGTATGCGATTAACACGTAAAAGTAATTCTACATGTATTTGGATTTGGACACAAAAGTGATATCATTTTTTTTTAACTTTGCAGACACAATCTTGCCTTTTTATATTGAAATAAATCATTAGTAACTTGTAGTTCATCAAGATAATCTTGAATGTTGGTCATCCGGTTGTAGGTAAATATCTAGAAGTTTTTTTCTACATGGCATAATTTATGTCGTCACTAGATATTTTTGTGTTTTATTACCTTGGAACACATGGGCATTTTATGTGAAATCATTTTCGTGTGACATTGATATAAGATTTTCTATGATTTTAAGATCTTTTGTTTTTCAGACTTCAACGAGTGCGCCAGCAACCCTTGTCGTAATGGAGGAACATGTACTGATGACGATAACCGTTATCTGTGCCAGTGCATGACCGGATGGGCAGGAGTTAACTGTCTAATAAGTGAGTAAAATACTAAATTCTGTCTGTTTCATTAGAAAGAGCAGGGGATCCAGGGTTTTATGAAAAGGGAGGGCATATTCCAACATATTCCTCTGAGAAACAACAAAAACGTCCTCGGATTGTTCTCAATTGTATTGCAGCAATCTAAATCACATTGGCTTATACATTACACTTTACAAAAAGCCATTGTAGTCAATGCAGTATTTTTAAACCTTAATTTAATGAATATATCTGTAAATAATTATTTTAAAAAAATCTCTCTTTGACATGAATGAGTGTTTCAGCCAGCCTTGTCAAAATCACGCGCTTAGACGGGATAAATAGTTACACATGGTTAGAGATATACTGATGTATATTCTGTGCCTTATAGTGTATTTATATACATATCTAATCTAAATCTAATTTAAATAGTTTGATCAATTCCTAAATAAATTGAAATAATCTTTCTCCTTTAGACTTAAATGAATGCTTGAGCCAACCTTGTCTACACGATGGGATTTGCTTGGACGGAATAAACAGTTACACATGTCAGTGTGGAGATGGATGGACAGGCACCAATTGTGGGATTGGTAAGTCATATTTTAAGTTCCTTTAGATTTAAGAATCTGTAGAAACTACCATAAAATGATAATTCAATTCTATGCCATTCAATATCTAAGAAATTAAATGTTTTAACTGGAATATTACTTCGTCAACATTGAAATGCCGCGAATCCTCCTCTTCCTCCTCTCCCTCCTCATCATCATAATCATTTCCACCATTACTACCATTATCATTATCATTATATTAAAGTATAATCAGGAATGCACATTATAAATTAAGAATTAATAATTGTTATCAAGAAATATGAAATTTAGAAACTTATGACTGGAATGTTTCCTTATTTTTTCAGACATCGATGAATGTGCCGATGAACCGTGTGAAAATGGCGGAGTCTGTGTGGACGGATTGAACAGCTATACATGTACTTGTACTGAAGGATGGGAAGGGTCCACCTGTGGTGTTAGTAAGTAAACATCGAGAAAATGTCTTTAAAACAAAACAAAGTTGCATTAAGCTTACAAATATGTATTACCATATGATGTCGATGTTTGTATGCGATTAACACGTAAAAGTAATTCTACATGTATTTGGATTTGGACACAAAAGTGATATCATTTTTTTTAACTTTGCAGACACAATCTTGCCTTTTTATATTGAAATAAATCATTAGTAACTTGTAGTTCATCAAGATAATCTTGAATGTTGGTCATCCGGTTGTAGGTAAATATCTAGAAGTTTTTTCTACATGTCATCATTTATGTCGTCACTAGATATTATTGTGTGTTATTACCTTGGCACAAAGGGGCATTTCATGTAAAATCATTTACGTGTGAAGTTGTCATAAGATTATCTATGATTTTAAGATCTTTTGTTTTTCAGACTTCAACGAGTGCGCCAGCAACCCTTGTCGTAATGGAGGAACATGTACTGATGACGTCATCCGTTATCTGTGCCAGTGTATGGCCGGATGGGCAGGAGTTAACTGTCTAATAAGTGAGTAAAATTCTAAATTCTATTCTGTTTCATTATTTTGAATTATCTCCTTAGACATGAATTTATGTTTCAACCCGCCTTCTCAGAACCATGGGATCTGCTTAGACGGGATAAAAAGTTACATACGATTGGATAAATACTGATGTATATTCTGTGCCTTTGTAGTGTAGTTACATGTATATTAAATCTAAATCAAATTGAAATAGTTTAGTCTATCGTTAAATAAATCGAAATAATCTTTTTCCTTTAGACTTGAATGAATGCTTGAGCCAACCTTGTCTGCACGATGGGATTTGCTTGGACGGAATAAACAGTTACACATGTCAGTGTAAAGATGGATGGGCAGGAACCAAGTGTGGAATTGGTAAGTCACATTTTAAGTTCCTTTAGAACATGTAGAAACTAACAACAAAAGATAATTCATTTCGATGTCATCCAATATTTAGAAAATTCAAACCATACTTAAAAACTCACTTAAATATAGATTTATTGGATGAACTTTTGGAGAAAAAAAACAATGGAATATTACTTCGACAACATCAAAATACCGCGAATCCTCTTCTTCCTTCTCCTCGTCCACATCATAATCATTACCTGCATCACCACCATCATCATTATCATCATAATAAAGTGTAATCGTTAATGCATATTACAAACTGAGGACGATAAATCGTTTTTAAGAAATAGTAAATTAAGAAACTTATGACTGGAATGTTTCCTTATTATTTCAGACATCGATGAATGTTCCGATGAACCGTGTGAAAATGGCGGAGTCTGTGTGGACGGGTTGAACAACTATACATGTACATGCACTGAAGGATGGGAAGGGTCCACCTGTGATGTTAGTAAGTAAACATCGAGAAAATGTCTTTAAAACAGTAAAACATCAAGAAAATGTCTTTAAAATAGAACAAAGTTGCATTAAGCTTACAAATTGTTTTACCATATAATTTCGATGTTTTTATGCGACTAATACATTCAACTAATTCTACATGTATTTGGATACAAAAGTGATATCATTTATTTTTTTACTATGCAGACACAAATGAATGTTTTGGCGACCCCTGTGTAAATGGAGGAATTTGCCAAGACGGGAATAACAGTTACACATGCCAATGTATTCTCGGATGGGAAGGGAACACATGCGAAATAAGTAAGTGAACTCCAGTTTAGTTTATTACATTCTACAGAAACTACTTTCAGCAGTTAGGACTAACATTAATTCACACTATAGCCAACATTAGTGATTTGTGGCTACTGCGAGCACGGAAGGTGGGAATCAGAACGCTCTACGTGGTGTAGCTAATAAAAAATAGATTGGACATTATTTCTTTTACTGCACTTTACTAGGTTGATTAGTTGGTTGATCTTATTTTCATGTCTTAAGTTCAGTCTCTTTCCTCAAGTATAGCCCCCTCACAAATATAAATTATCCTAATTAGTTTTTAATAAGCTTAAAGAAAAGGTTGAGTTCTGGGAAGAGTTAACAAATAATTTGGTAAAAAGGTTATATCCGCCTTCCACCTTGCAGACAAAAATGACTGTGTCAACGATCCTTGTCAAAACGAAGGAGCTTGTTTGGATGGACTGAACAGTTACACATGTCAATGTACGGATGGATGGGAAGGAAGCAACTGTGAAAATGGTAAGAACCCTTATTTTTTACGCCTCCTACCCCCCCCCCCCCTCCCCTCACCGAGGCACAGCTCGCCAAGCCACAAAACCAAATGTTTGGGAAACACATGTTTAAAGTTTAAACATTATTGAAAAGCTGGATTTCCTTAAAGAAACTTGCATTAGATGCCTGGTCATGTTTTTTTGTATCAGAAGATGACATGCAAATTAGACTTCGATCCTCAAAAAATCCATGTATTTCCTTCAAGGAAAATTTCAATAGAGGGCGTAAGAGTATATTCCTAATCAGTGCCATTAATTAGATGGCTCCGTTCCTGATGCACGGATCTTACAACTATTCTACACTGTATATATCTCATTTCGGACGAAAATGTCGGTCAGCTCACTCCGCTCCTCTGTAATAGGTAGCAAAACGCTTTAAACAAGGCATTATTATTATTTTTAATATTATTACATTCCATTCTATATGTTTGAGAACTTATACTCTTGATTTACCTAAATCTATGCTATGATTGACTAACCAGGTTTGTTACTAAAAATAATCATTGAAGGACTGAAATCATTCAAATAAGCTTCAAAATCATCTGGTAGTATCCAGTTAGCACTGTGCTGACGTATGATATAAGGATACTGGTGTAGGGTCAGGGTTTCGGGTTATTTCATTTTTGGGATCATGAACTGAATGGCATTTTCAGAATTATCTTAGGACCTTCGGAGATAAAAAACACGATACCCTAGAATTCATGTTAATTACTTCTCTGTTTGTCTGTCTTTCTGTCGTCTAGACATTGATGAGTGTAGCAGCCAGCCTTGTGGAAATCAAGGTATTTGCCAGGATGAGGAGAACGGTTACACGTGTGCATGTGAGGATGGATGGACTGGTACACATTGTGAAACAGGTAAGTTCTGAACGAAAATCTCAGGGGCGTATCTAGGATAGTCTGAAGAGGGTTGGGGGAGGGGGGGGGGGGTTGGGGGAGGAAGTAGGAAGCAAAATTAATCAATTTTATTTCAAGTGAGGGAATCTCGGCGGCACTCTCTCACGGCGGTAAGGCGCATCGAAGGACCCTTTTGCGGGGTCTATTCTGATATCAATTCAATTTTGATTCATGTTTATCTTGTTAATTTATGTTTATATTATTTCAAGACGTCGACGTGTGAACCACCCAGACTTGTAACAACGAAAATTCATGTTAAATATTTGTCTATTTGTCTGTCTTTCTGTCCTTTAGACATTGCCGAGTGTAGCAGCCAGCCTTGTGGAAATCAAGGTATTTGCCAGGACGAAGTAAACGGTTACACGTGCCAATGTGCCGAGGGATGGTCTGGTACACATTGTGCAATACGTAAGCATCCTATCCAATTCTAAACATTACTTCTGTTTCCGCGTTAATGGTACTTTGGATGACGAGGTACAAGGTTCGAATCTCTGTCACAGAATCAACGTCCTTTGGCAAGACATTAATATAAGATTGCCACATCCGACCTAGATGAGGTTATCGGGTGCTAGTAGGAAGTCATTCATTGTAGCGTCTTATCTGGGCAGTTAGGCTACAGCAAGATCAACAAAAAATGTTTCGTAGCGGAAGGAAACATTGCTAAGTAGATGATATGCGCGGTCAACAAGACAGTAATGGAGTCGTGGTCCAGTTCCGAGATCACGAGGCAGCTGAAGAACATTACCTTGCATATATTTTGTACTTCTGACTGGGTCCGAGTCCAAGGATACCTGAGGCCGGAATTCACTTTAATACTGATAATCCTCCTCCTCCTCATTTTCATTGTTGTTTTTATTGTTATTATTTGTTATTGTTATTATTATTTATTATTATTTTATATCGTTATTATCATCATTTAATTATGATTGTTATTGTTATTATAAAATTAATTGCTATAATAAAACCATCTAACATTTTATCTTCTTTTTTCAGTCAATGCATGTAGTAGCGAACCTTGTAACAATGGAGGTACCTGTACGGAGGGGGCGAACATTTACACATGCCAATGTAGTGCAGGCTTTACAGGTTTCAATTGTGAAACAGGTGAGTAGATCTACCTGTCAAAGGGCAATCCATGCTTTGTAATGAGTCTATTTTTATGAAAGCAGAAAAATAAGATAAATAAATCGGACCAATTATAAATACAGTTAAGAAAATTTAAAAAACACTAAATCTATGCGAAATTAAATTTGATTAGTGGATTGTGACTTTGTTACGGGCAGCGTTCGCCTGTCTTCTACAACAATATCACTATCTTCTGTCTTTCTCCTTAATGCTTTCTCCCTTGGAGCACTACTCAAATTATATTATGGCTAGCACACTATTATAGGTGCTCTGGGAAATAAAACACACTCCTGAGTAATGCATTTTGAATAATTTGTATTATGATATTTAGTACGTTGAAATAAAAATTGAATTCGACTCT